CAGAGGGGCGTGGGGAGTGGCTCCTTATTTTCATCTAAAGTAACAGACAGAGAATCAGCACTTTGGAAACAGGGCTGAAACAGAGGGGATTATGGGATGCTACAATGCACAGTTTGGTATTTCGAGTCCAACACTTCAGAGACATGTTTGTATATATCTGAGACCTATAATATATTGATGAAAAGCAGTATAATAGGGGACCTTTAAAGTATGATGGTAAATGGCCCCCACCTGAAACTTGTGCTTGTCTTATATATTGTATTTCTTAAATATATATGTGAACCTATATTACACAGTAGTTTTCATGTGTTAATAAGCCCACTTTTCAAAGACATTCAGTCAATTAGAGCTGAGAACATGTTCTAACAAATATTAGTTTTATTTCCATAACAAGATTTAAATAGACCCTTCATGTTTCCCCTTATTTTAAGGGATGAGCTGCAACAGGATAACTGAAACCCTATGAGAGCTGTGATGTTTCTTAAATCATATTCAAGTAGAAAGCATAATTGACCTACATTTGATTGATTTTGCTAACTTATAACTCAACTTATGAGGCAGTATACCTCACCTCTAGTGAGGGACCCAGCCCTTTGTATTTTTTCTGTATGTGGCCCTCAGTGAAAAATGTTAGGACACCCATGTTTTTAAACCATCAGTTTACTGGAGCAGCAGACTTTTAAAGCACACACATTCACATTTTAAAGATCATGCTTGTATTTAGGGTTTCTATTAGACCATGTTCAGAAAAAAACATTATTATACTGTCCATCTGAGTATACAGTACCTGTATTTATCTTCTGTCTCTTTAAGCTTCCCTCTTCAAAAAGCCCAGTCTGCTGTGATTGGCTGTAGTATCTTTTTTTCTCATGTTATTAATTAAAAAATTTCTTGAACCCTTGGCAGAGACAATTTACACATTGGCATCTAAAATGATTTGAATGAAATAAATGCCAGACAAAATGTACACGTCATCGTTCAAGGCATAATGAAGCTAACGGTAGTCTGTGTTAAACACATCAATTAGATATATTTTCCGAGCTTTTTCAGTACATAGTTAGCACAGAGCCGTTACATTACGTTCGCGGAGCCTTTACGTTGAGTATTTGGACCAATCCACGGACTTCCTCACACACACACACTCAATCTTTTCTCAGCTGCAGCTCCGCGGATTTCTCAGCCTGAGACGGCGGGATGCGGGTGTGTGTGTGTGTGCTCGGGCTGGAAAATTGCACAATTTAAATCTATTCTAGTAGACCTCAACAATGGAATTATGATCAGTAGAAATGGCCATGACATGGGACCTTTAAAATGAAATATATTAAATAAGAGATCTCTTCAGGGTCATCAAGGCCAGAAGGAATGATTACAGCATTATATTTCAATATTGTCATTATTTATATTGTTGCTTTAGACTTGAAAAAAATCTTACCGTATATGATCTACTTAATTCTGTCCTTGGCTTTCTATGAAAAGGTACACATTGACACTGTCATTGTTTTGGCTAAAGCAACACTAACACATCTAGCCCTTTTTTCTGATTGGACGCTGAGAGAGCAGCTTAACCTCTGATTGGCTGCCAGGGAAGACTGATCAAAAATGCCGATGAACGGCACGCAGCTCCTCTCCCTCTCTCCCTCTCTCACTCTCTCACTGTAAACATCCTGCTCATGCTTGTGTTTTTCTCCAGAGGAGATCTTTGACAGCTTGTGGTCGTATAGCGTCTCTGACAGACCTGTCTATGTGGGAGTATGTGTGTGTGGGTGTGGGTGTGTGTCCAATGTGATGTTGGGTCGACGGATGCGGTGATGAGGATTAAGGAGTAGGAAGTGGGGATGCTGCTTTTCCTCTTGGGACGTCGCGTTTGTTTGTTTCCTCAGCGAGGTCCTTTGCACGCTGGGGCTGGGGGGGAAGGAGGGGTGACTGGTGTGTGTTTGTGCATGTGTGTGTATGGGGAAAGATCTCCTGGCTGTTTTGGCGTCTGCTGCGGCTCTGCTGGAAAGCCCCCCCCTCCCCTCTCTCCCTTCCTCCCCCTCTGAAAGGTGAAGCTGCCTCTCTTCCTCTCTCCACCTTCACTCGGTGAGTGTTGTCAAGTTGTCTTGAAGCAGAGGCAGCTTGTTCAACAGTGTTCTTTTTTTTTTTTGCTGCAGTGCTCTCTCTCTCTCTCTCTCTCTCTCTCTCTCTCTGTCTTTCTCTCTCTTTTTGTGTTGCTGTGTCCTACTCACACACCGCTTCATCTCTTTCTCTCTCTCTCTCTCTCTCTCTCTCTCTCTCTCTTTGACCATGCAAGCATTTGACCTTCACACATACACACACACGCACGCACGCACGCACGCACGCACGCACGCACGCACGCACGCACACACACACACACACACACACACACACACACACACACACACACTCAGTCATACATTTGTCCCGAAGCTTTCCCCTTTTCTCTTGATCGTTAAAGTATTTTTTTCAAACACTTCCTCATTCTCAATGCTGCATCAGTTGTAAGACACAGAAATTGGCATGCCTCTGTGAGTGAGTGTGTGACATCCAGGCATCAGCAGCAGGTTTTGTAGGTGTGAAGTCTGCCCTGCATCCCCCCCTCGGTCCATCTCTGGACATGATGACAAAAAATTACAACACTATCCTGAAAAGCAAGACACCGTTACGATTGGTAAAAAGCAACAGCAACATGTACTGTATAGACAGCTCCCATATTTACACAGTGTATATGTAGGTGTAGAAGTTGTATCGCCAATGAATGCTGTGCTAACATACATTGCTAACACTTCTAGGAAATCAGTTTCAACATTTCAAAAAAAGTTTAACTGTGACAAACTCGATAGATCTTTAACTACCAATTCTATGGAGCCGAGCTGTGTAGTTGACAGATCCTGGAGCAGGATTAACCAGAATGTGATCAAATGTCAACGTAGTACGACACATAGAGTCACGTCTATGTTAGAAGCAGTGTTCTTGAATTAAATGTGTTAAATGCTCCAAAAACACCAGATCCCATCAGGTGTCAGATCATCCCCAGCGTTCTTAAATGTCTCCTGTGTGTGTTTGGTGGGATGCAACCAGTCTTTTTTCTGCACAGGTTCAGACCATACCATTTCCTAATTAGGTTTATCAGGTTCTCAGCACTGGGTTTGAATCCAAAGTCTGACTAGTATTAATATGCTCTCAAAATGTGAGTTCTTTCAATTGATCGCGGTGGGAGCTGATGAGCCCACATGAAAATGAACTGAATGGATTTTATTTCTTAAAAATGAAGTCAAAGCAAAACAACGATGTTAAAGGTGACCTATCATGCAAAATGCATTTTTGTACGTCTTTTATACATGAATATGTGTCCCCGGTGTTCCAGGGAAATCACCAAGTGTTCGCAGGGTCGTCGATAAGGCTTGCCCGTTTTACATGGTCTCCGCAGTAGGGACTTAACTCTTTATTCGTTCTATAATTGCGTTGTTCGGCATCTGGTCGGTGATAGACACTGTAGTATCTTACAACGTTTTTAGACCTAGTCTAGTATAGTCTAGTGTTATACTGTTTGTTTATTATTCTTTCTAAACCATATCCTCCGCTTTATCTCTCCCAACAC